ATGTTGGGTCAAAAATAATGCATACAATAGCACAGATGCCTTCACCACGAATGGCTACAAAAATATCTCATATCCCAAGCTTATTGTCAACCTCACATGATGATGTGATACCAGTTTTCAAGCACAGTAAATATTCTCTTCCCAGCGTATATGATGGGACCAAGGTGATGATGTAGTAGGCTACATGGTTTTAATAATACTTTTGCCTTTCAATGTTTGCCATTTCAAACCATGAGCATGGTTTAAATAATATTTGCCTTGATTTACAAAATGTTAACCTTCATTATAGTCCTTGACAGCGGTCTGTACTGCTGTATTAACAACGTGTCACATGTTAAGAATTTACAATCAGAATCGAGTATTCAACTAAGCCGTGTAATACAAGTTGTTAGTAGCCTTAAGGGCCTACACAGTTGTTATGCTATACCACATTGCCCTTGACTGGATGCATTATTAGCTGCACTAAACTTCATTTTAGCATTTAAAATACCTAGCTATTCTTTTGCGGTTATTTTGGTGAAAGTAACTAAAAAGTAACTAAAGTAGTGTAACTCATTACATTTCAGAGACAGTAATATTGTAATGTAACTTATTACTTTCAAAAGAGAGTAATAAGTAATATGTAATATATTACATTTTGGAAGTAACTTGCCCAACATTGCGGGCCACGAGTTGACCACACGGTTGAGATGCCACAATCAATTCTGAAGAGCCCTCCTGTAGCTCCAGGTTTTAACTAGTTCAGAGTGTAATAATCAACATTCTTCAATAGATAGACTAAACAGCTGAGGACACTGAATCACAGTTGTTGACGCTTATGGCTCTGGGTCATCTACACCCCGAGAAGGATGTGTCCCACAACAACAACAACTATCTCTGACCAACAGTTGCCCGGTCATAAACTGGTAACAACAATATGCTAGGGTAGCCCCTCCTTAAGGGAGATAACGGCTGCTCAAGGCTGGGCATCTGCGTCAGAGGGCCAAGGAGGACATGCAGGGCAAATTATTCCCTGACAGTGAGTGTTTCATTATTGGGTTGAACTAAATAAACAACATATGGTGCAGGAATGAGTCCTTAACCCAGAAATAAGTTAGCATTGTCTGGCAGACTCACGGTTGTCCTGGTCCCATTTTTCAGAGCTTTGATTGGATCGCTGGCCCAGAAGAGGAAAGCTGATTGGCCGGTTGAGGTGGAGATTGCAGAAGTTTCCAAAACTAGACGAGGACAGACGAACTCTGCCGACCAGAGGAGACGCCCGTTGGCCCCGTCAACAACCAGCGCCTAGTAACAACAACAAGAGACACCAAAGCGGTCAGTTAGAGATGTCTTAATGTTATTTTATCCTCTCAACTTCATATTTACAAACCCAAACAAGAGCAGTTTGACAGCAGCATGTCAGCCCTTCTTGATGTATGAATGGTGTGTTTGTTTTACCGTCATGGTGCCATTTGTTGCATGCGTGATGAAAAGATCCAGGACTCCATCGCTGTTGAAGTATCCCGGGGCGGGTTGGCTGCGACAGGCGGAGAGATATATTTTAGGATCATTCCACAAAATAACGACACACAGTGGTTTCAGTGGTTCAAACATATGATAGATATATTTGTTTTACTTTGTTTTTATTCCAGTTTTTGCACCTTATACACTATTCACACCTTTTTACTACTTTTCCATTGGCCATATTCATTTTCCTTTTGGTATTCATGGATGTTGTTATACACATTTAAACGTGGATTGTCAATCTTTTCACCCCCCATAAATGAAGACAAATGTATCTCTGTATGCTCAGTAGTGGCATAGTGATTGTCGGGGCTTCACCTGTGAATGGGATCCGAGTTGAAGGTCCACTCTTTCTTGATGTCCTTCTGCCGGAGCACGGACAGTTTGCTGGACAGTTTGCCGGACAGTTTGCCGGACAGTTTGCCGGACACCAGCGCCCAGTCGCTCCGGCTGGAGTTCAGGTTGGACACCGGGTCCAGGCTGTTGTGGCTGTTTCCAAAACCGGCCACCAGAGGGAGCAAGAACTCCACCGGCTCAGATCCTCTGTGGAGAAAGACTCAGAATATAGGGATTACTGTAATATCAGTTGTAAATTGTGTTGTATACTTATATATTTGTAATCGCTGCGTATGCAACCTAGGAAATTGTTCCATTGTCTTAAACCACAAAGCATTTTGTTATGTGAAGATAATAAATATATTCAAATATCAATAAAAAACACATCCCAAATAATCACAAAATGAAGAAATTGAAAATAAAATCTATGTAAATAATACTCCTAAAACCTAGGAAATTGAACACAATGTTTCCCCAGTAATCTAGAAAATAGTTTGACATTAGATCAATATTTTGACCACAACTTAAAAAACTCTACCAATGTATTTTTGATTCACAAAGTCCCAAAGTCTAAGTGACTAAGATCCATGTGCGTACCTGTAAATGTGTATGAAGGACGAGGAGTTGGTTTTCTTCAGAGCCTCCCACCCTGGATCCCTCCTGCTGAGAGCCTGAGTCAGAGGCATCTTCCCAGTAGCTTTAAAATAGATATCACGCAGAGAGATGGCCTCCACATTACCTGAGGGAAAAAGACATTGACAAAAATCTTCAGTATTTAAAGGTGGGGTAGGTAAGAATGGAGAAACCAGCTCGAGTGCGCTAGAATTTGAAAGTACGCAGCCGAAAAAAATCTGCCTCTTCCTTCAGACTTCCTTACAGAGCCCCTCCTCCAACACACACGAACGCGCACATGACCAATGAGGGCACGAGATAAGTTTGTGCACAGATGGAAGGCTGACAGGCAGGTAGGCCATCCAGTTACTTTAGCCGGGCCGGCTCAGATGATTGGTCGTGCTTTTTACAGCGCCACGGCTTCCACAGATGAAATTTTTATATGTATTTATTGTCAAAGCATTTAATGTATTCATTGCTATCGGGATGTTAAGAGCATTCCATGGAATATAACAACAAGTGTTTCTGAAGTGAATTACCTACCCTACCTTTAATTTCTAATTACATAAATCAATTCCCTCATAATACCAACGACAGCCTGAACACACATTATTTATCTTATATACATGAAGAGTGGTGTAGGAATGAGTCCTTAACCCAGACATTAGGATTTGAATGTTCTTCTTGTTGGATGCCTGAAATAAGGTCTGTGGTTAACACAAGCTGAAGAAGGGTTCACGATTTGTTCTAAAATACGTCAGTAAATACCCCAATGATGAATTCAAAAACAGCGGTTGTTAACAAGTGTCTAAATGAGACGACTAAACGCCATCACGCCCATCACTAACCGCCTTTAGCTTAGCGCTGGTGATGTGAAGTCATGTGGATAACGTTAGCTTTTTACTGCTAGCCATTGCATTTACGTTTCAACTACAACGCTCCCATTGGCTTTTTGCGGAGGGAGCCCTTGAGATGCTAACCTCCAGGTCGGCCTAGAGAGATACTTCCTCCCTAGTGGATTCCTTTACCTAGTCCAAAGAGGATGTAGTAAGCCCCCTGTTGGGTCTCATGCAGCAGAGGACCAATCAGCTTCCCTTGTCCGGTGACATTGAAAGGCACGGGATGTCCCAGCGTGGCCCCCGACAGCCCGGAGATCAGCGTCAGGGACAGGTCCAGAGCCTGGGAGTGAGAAGAGCAGAACACTGAAGGCTGAGGAGTGGAAACATGATCTGTGAAGCTCCTAATCACTCAGAGAGGGAGAGGAACCTCGTCTGCAGGCAGGGTGGCGATGAGCAGATCTGGGACGGAGTCGCCCTGCAGGTCTGGGAGTAAAACCGCCTGGGACTCAATGTTCTTCAGCAGGACGGACCACAGCTGATTCCCTGGGGGAGAGAAAGGAAATCAGACATGTTTTAAATACGTTGGATAACACCAAGTTTTTAAATACTTTATTTAGAATTGTTCTTTTAGTTAAAATAAAGCAAAGACATACACCATATACAGTAGGTACACTGAACAAAAATATAAACGCAACACTTTTGTTTTTTTGCTCCCATTTTTCATGAGATGAACTCAAAGATCTAAAAAAAAATTCTACATACACAAAATAACCATTTCTCTCAAATATTGTTCACAAATCTGAAAAAATCTGTGATAGTGAGCACTTCTCCTTTGCCGAGATAATCCATCCCACCTCACAGGTGTGGCATATCAAGATGCTGATTAGACAGCATGATTATTGCACAGGTGTGCCTTAGGCTGGCCACAATAAAAGGCCACTCTGAAACGTGCAGTTTTGCTTTATTGGGGGGGTCTGGGGGGGTCCGAAAAC